ACCCCCCATAAACGTTTTCGAGGTACGGAGCCTAAATGGTAGTTCTGTCCTATAAGAGACCGTGTGCAAAGTCCAGAGCCTGTGCGACAACGTTTACGCGGATCGCATTGCGATTTTTGTTTTGGCCCAACCTTGGCGCTAAACAGGTAGACCGCCTTGTATGCGCTGCACTGCGCTCACGGTAGGACCGGGGCGAACGAATCGGGCTGAAAGTGTTACCCTATGGGCCCTACTTTTTATCAGATGTAAAGGATCTGAGCTCCGGACACACGGGGCGTGTCCAGGGACCTAAACATGCGCCCGACGTAACTCGCCAGTTGCAGAAAATAATGCTGACGTAGCTCTTACTTTTTATTGCATGAAAATCGAGGACACACTGAGACATTTCAGAATCAGTAATGTCTGCGGGGGAGCGGTTACGCGTTCACAAGAAAAAGTTTGGAAGACAGGTATTTGCGCCTGTGGTGACGTCACTTAGCCTGCCCGCACTACAGGCCTGAGTGCACAGTAGCCTAGTACACGAACTTTTTTTGCCTTTTCCATTTACCGCCTCATCGCTACCCCGCAGACATTACTGATTCTAAAAGGTGTCAGTGTGCCCTCGGTTTTCATGCAATAAAAAAAAAAGTTAGGGCTACGTCGGGCGCACGTTTAGGCCCATAGAGACGTCGCACGTCGCGTGTGTTGGGAGCAAGGATCCTTCATATCTGATACAAAGTGGGACCCATAGGCTAACACTTTCAGCCCGAGTCGTTCGCCCCGGTCCCACCGTGCGCGCAGTGCAGCGCCTACAAGATGGTCTACATGTTTGGCGCCAAGGTTGGGCCAAAACGAAAATCGCAATGCGATCCGGGTAAACGTTATCGCACAGGCTCTGGACTTTGCACAGGGTCTCTTTTAGGTGAAATCTACCATTCAGGCCCCGTACCTCCAAAATCCACAAATTCGACCCATGAAATGGGATGGGCTACTATATACACACACACAAGCTGTGATGTGAAGCCGGATACACATTCTGGCTTTGTCGCTCCTGAATGTTCAACTGTTCACGACTGTCTTACGGTCCAGACAACTGTATCCCTTAACCCTAACTCATCATCCACTCTAAATGTCTAGTCTCCCATTCTTATAGGAGTACCAGCAGGTTTCCTGTGAACAAGTCGTCAATGATTTACAAGGCCTGGGAAAGGTTCCTGTGTTGTGTTACCTAGTGACACCTAACCTACCAAACGCACCAAGAGCATTGAGGTTCCTGATCAATAGGGGCTGTGAACCCGACGGAAAGTAAGTAATGGAAGGTAATGGTGGGGGCAGGGCACTCATTAAACATTTGGTTCTAAAGGACTAATTTAAGGAGAGCACCCAAAAAATTCGCTTTTAGGAAAATGACAGT